AGGGTTTAGGACAAGCAGCCCCCGAGGAGGACGGAGGGCGAGGAGGTGACCTGCCGCTCCCACGTCCTCCGCAGCCGAGGCGGATATGCTGGAAGCAGGGGCAGTGCCGGCCTTTTCCGCGCCCCCCTGCGCGGGGACTCTTACTGCAGCGGGAAGTCCGAGAGCCGCTGCCCCGCAACCTCGCCGTACCGCGGGAAAGGCACCAGCCCGCCCTGCGAGCCAGCTCCGTCCCGGATCCGTGCCTGTCCCGCTCCTCGCCTGGTCTCTTCCTCGCGGTCGGCCCGGTCCCTCTGCCCCGGGATGCCTCCCAACCTTACCGGCTATTACCGCTTCGTCTCCCAGGAGAACATGGACAATTACCTGCGTGCTTTAGGTAACTCCACTGTCCTCATCCTGCTCCTTCCTCCCCTTTTGCTCCTTTCTGCCTCCAAAAATGTCAGAAGCTGGGGAGGAAGGGATTTGGGAACCCTCTGGTCCTTCTGTCTGCGACCATCACTTCGGCGCTGTGGTGGGAGGAGTGGAGAACGTATCATGGCTAGGGCTCCTGGCTAAGAGTGGAGGAGCTCTGTGGGAATGCTGCTAGAGGAGAGGCCCAGGTTGGGCACAGATCTCCCCTCTCTCTCATCCTCCAGATATCAATGTGGTCCTGCGAAAACTGGTTTGCCTTCTGAAGCCTGATAAAGAGATCATCCACACGGGAGATCACATGGTCATCCGCACGATCACCTCCCTGCGGGACTATGTTATGGACTTTGACCTGGGAGTCCAGTTTGAGGAAGATCTGGGACCCGTGGATGGACGGAAGTGCCAGGTGAGAAACCCAAGCAGTGCAGTTTGACAGCGGACTGGGGTGCATTAGAAGTTCAGGGACTTACTCAGCTTTTGATTCACAAACCAGATGAGAGCCCAGCCCAGAGCTGGCATGCCCCTGCAGGTCTAGGAATAAGCGGTTTTATGAGTAAATCACTCACAGCAAAGGGGATGAGCACCATACAGCCAGAAACCCAGTACTCTGGGATCTGGAGGGTACTGTCCTCTGGAGCAAAATCCTGAAAAGACAGATCAGCCCACTTGGCAGTACTCTTGCACTTGGAAGCCAGAGGGTCATTCACCTCCCACAAAGAGCATCAGTCCTAAGGAGCCACCAAAGAGACACCAGACTAAGGGACTGCATTTGAAAATGTGTCTGAGAGGAACAGTGTCATTGCTGGAAACCTGTGTTGCCAGGACCTGCCTGTCTTGGGACCATGTCTTCCCCTCTCCTCCATTTTTTCAGACAACTGTCTCTTGGGAGGGGGATCAGCTGGTGTGTGAGCAGCGAGGAGAGAAGAGGAACCGAGGCTGGAGGCACTGGCTGGAGGGAGACCAGCTGCATCTGGTGAGGAGGGGTCCAGCACAGCTTGCTAAATCCCAATCGCGATGGGTGAGGGACACACAGTGCAGATGCTGCAGGCTCTGAGCCAGCTCTGCTGCTTCCTTCCAACTCCTCTCCGACTTCAGCCCCGGTTCCTCAGGGGCAGCCACCACTTCACACAAACATCCACCTCCAGGGTTTAAAAGTTAACACAGGTCAGCAAAGGCAATGTCCCTGACCTGCCCTGCAGTGTGACCCGCTGGGCCTTTGTGAGGCTTGGGATGCGCGTGCAGCAGCATGTGGCCTGCAAGAGCCCAGCTGGCGCCGGGAGGGCAGGTAGGGCTGTGGGCTGAGAAGTAAGGGGTCCAGGCTAAACTCTTGTTTCGTCCCCCTTTTGCCAGCGCATGACTGCTGAAGACGAGGTCTGTGTCCAGGTCTTCCAGAAAGTGAAATGATGCCCGGACGGATGTCCCGGCTGGACAAACTGCCGGGGATTGGAAAAGAAACAAGACCCGAGTGAGCCGAGCCCCCCCGGTAGCAGCGTGGTTTTTTCTGCCTCGCCTCTCGCCCCGCAGCGGCTGGGGTCACGGCGGGGCCGGGCC